TACAAGATCAAAACAAACTCAGAAATACATGAACACACCAAACACACCAATTATACACGTCTATGTTTGTACATACAACATACACTCACACACATTTACATACGCTCGTACACTTTAAGTATTATGCTAATATAAATTGATATTGTCATGCCCTTGAAAAACCAGACCCCCAAACAAAGAAAATAAATAAAAAACCAGCAACTGCGAAACAATTAATAAAGGCGAACAAGGATGTTCTTTGACCTCTGTGATGTTTCCACATATCTGCTTCCCCTCTCTTGCCCCCTCATTAAATGTTATCGCCCCTGATCGTCCCCAACAGAGTGAGCAGGAGCTGGGTACAGTAATTACAAATTTGGTCTTCGACGAATGGAGAAGGTGGAGGTTCGAATCCACGTTCGATCTGAATGGTTTTATTTCCTCGTCCCTCCTTGTAAGATTTTTTTTTCACAGTTCAGTGTTGAGATCAGGGACGAGATGCTCCTTCTTTGAAATGAACAAGAATGGATCTAGTTTAGTAGCTTGTGAAATTAATAATATAGTCACTATAGCAACAACAGCAACAACAGCAACAACAGCAACAACAGCAACAACAGCAACAACAGCAACAACAGTAAAAACAGAAACAACAGCAATAACAAAAACAGCAACAACAACAACAACAACAATAACAGCAACAGGTGGCCCTGCCCAAGAACACGCCCTGAGGGGCTCCAAACAATTCGGAAGGATAGGCTACCACACACACTTACACCCACAACAACAACAGCAACAACAACAACAACAACAACAACAACAACAGCAACAGCAACAACAACAACAACAACAACATCAAAAAGTCTTATTCAATTAAAAAGCATGGTGAGGGCTTTTGTTCTCTTAGATAATTCTTTCAGTTCACCTTTTGACGAATTCGAATCGTTCGACTTGTGTGCACTGTGTACTCTCAGGATCTCAAAACGTGTTAGTCAGTTTAGCTCTAATTTTCGATGTTGGACACACGAATGATGATAATACAATATACTGTTCGACTTTCCTGGAGTCGCAACATGTGCAAAGACCATAATTGTCCTAGTAAAGTCGCTTCTCCCATCTCCGGTGACATTGTTAGAGAGCCTAAGGCCACCTATATTGTGACGTATCTAGTCTGATCGATTCATCATCAGGTCATAAAACTACCATCAGGGAGCGAGCTTGCCTCTTGGCCGTTTTTCGCCAACGTCGACTGTTTGTGATTTGAATATTATGTTGCGTCTCTCTTCTTCGACGTTCCTTCTATCTATCTATCTATCTATCTATCTATCTATCTATCTATCTATCTATCTATCT